GTTCCTTTTTTTATTTCCTGCTTTTTAAACACATGTGCTCTCCAGTACAGGTTATAGCTCTGAGTGTTAGCGAGGCTTGCTAATGTAAACAAAGACGAGATTACGTCCAAAACACGTCAGGCATTGTTTCCGATAGCAACTTTCTGTGGGTCCGCTGCCGATTTGACGTAATATCGGCAGCAAATCTGTATCCGCTCGTTGTGCCCCCGTTTTTAAAAGATTTGGGTACGGAGGAAAAGAGAAAGGGTTTTATTTTCTGACGCTGCGTGAGTTCCCTGACACACCGGGGACACATATTTATGTATAAAAGACATCACAAAGTGCATTTTGCATGATAGGTCCCCTTTAAAGAAAGTGCAAATATAAATGTGTCATTGTGTAATACCCGTCTTTTAGATCCTGTTGGATTGTTGCGCACTGACTTTTCCAGAGCTGCTGTTAAACTTTGATTCTTCCCTGAGTAATTCATGGATGATGAAATGTTTATTCAATTATATTGTTATTAGCTTCTCAAAGGACTTTATTTAGAGGCGACCTCATCCAGGAGGCAGCCATTGTTTTATGACAGACAGCAGCAGTGTGTGCATCTGCCCGAACAATAATGGCTCCACCTGTCAGAAGCCATGAGAGAAACCAAACCGGTGGCTGCTACCTCAACTTCTATCTCTGATTAAAGTCGAGGAACCTTTGAGTCTGACACCCTGCTGGACATTAGCCGTATGTTCCAGCTTTTCCTTCTGATTAAGGCCTCCTTCAGATTTATCGGGCATGGGAAATAATGGGAAACACAGCGAATGTAGAAGTTTTAGGCCCATTACTCATGGCTTTTATTGGCATGGGCTCTGTCTGGCACACAGCCAGTGACCTGCACAGAGGACAAAGCAAGTAACGCCTCTCCTGGCTCCTGGCAAGGAAAAGGCAGCGGTGAGGGGGTGGCAGTACGGAGGGGGAGAAAGTGAGAGAAGAGACATGGCAGCAGTGTAGGTGGGTGGTGTGAGGATAGAGGAGGAGGAAATGGTTTAATAATTTACAAAAGAAAAGAAAATTCCACAGTGGCACAAAACGCATCACAAACATTTTTTGCTATCCCTTGTAATATAGAAAGAGGGTATAAAGAAATGCAAGCAAACATCTAACAAGGATTTATAATGGTGTCTAGACAGAGTAGTGGGTCCCCAAGGAAGCATTGCAAAAATGAGCCCCTGTGTACTTTGTGATAAAAACTAAAGTTCAGAGAGAAACCTGCCACACTAAAAGACAAATATTTATAATTGAAACTGCCACACTATTGTACATGCTTAATTGTTCTGGGTCTTGGAGACATAATGGCTCTTTAATATCTGCGAAAAACGCATTTAACAATGTTTCTTTTCCATAGCTTAGTACCTCTTGACTTATACAATTTGGAACTGAACCAAATTGTCACAATCTAGTATACTGTACATGTATTGGTTTGTTGAAGACTTTTTGGCAATCAAAAAGACTATACAATTCCTTATACGTATAATAACTTCTTACAGTTATTTCTACGTTTTTTTTTATAACATTCAGCAAGTGTCCAAGCTTGGTTTGCAGCAGAGAAAATGGTTTGGAGTACTGTTGTTCATTTTCTTCTTTTAATAAAGTTACAAAAATAAAGATAAATAAGAACGTTGCACATGAAATTCCATTTTATCATGACTACAAAGTGTGTAAACACATATTCATCTTCTGTTGCTTTGAAGAAAACTTCCCATAGTTGAAATTATTATCCTAAATTATGCCATCAATATTAATGGAAGATGCAATTGATTTGGAAAATCTGAAAAGTAGAATCATTTATTTTTGGAGCTTTACCAATTAAGACTATTGTTGGTTTTCTATCTCTTTTAAGTCCCTTGTATTGCTGTGATTTTCTTTACAAAAGGAAACAATTGCATGATTTTCAATGATTTATATTAATATTTATGCACTCAACAACTATGTGGAATGGTTGAGGGCTTATAGGCTGATTTAAATAATTGAAATAAATCCTTATGCATAACATCTGGAAACATGTGCCTGCCTTTTAGCATTTATTTTACTCTCATGCACAACAAATGGAATGGAATAAGTATGAAATTGCGTGCTTAATGGTTGCTGAATATGCATAGATATTTGACCTGTTAAAAACAAAAGAACAACTCCAGGAACATTCCTTGTGTTTCTTCTCCATGATTCAAAGGTTTATTGTCTTATCATATACGCAATTATATACCAAGCTGGGGGTGCGCTGCTATGTGCGCGTTGTTCCGTGCCAAGTGAAAACACACTACAGCTGACATGAGATTGAAGCAAATGTTCATCCACACAATTCTGATTTATAAATAACTTCACAGAAAAGCCTAATCACCTTCGGGTGTTGAAGCTGCAAAGGCGTTATCTTCGCTTGTTCTAAATATTTCCCTCGCAGTTACACAAATGACTGTTGCCATGTTAAATGGTGTTAAAAAGTGATGTATTGCTTGGTCTCCCCTTTTCTACACTGTCACTTAAAGGGGCCCTATTTTGCTAATTTTCATGCTTTAATGTTCAAAAAGGTCTTTATTTTTGCTCATACTGCTTGTTCTGCAGCACCTCTTTTCACCCTCTGTCTGAAACCAGAGCCCAGTCCGCTCTGATTGGTTAGATGAACAGCAGTGTTTCGATTGGTCAACCGTTTACAGCTGTCCCACCCCTTAGCCTTTCACGTACAATGTGTTGGAGCGCTAGCCAATAGAAGCAAGATGTGATGTCACTATGTCACAGAAGTTGACAAAGGAGTCCAAGGGGGTGTTTTCAGACCATTTAAAGGCACACCAACTATTTAACACACTACAGGAAAGGGAAAACCCCAAAAAGCATAATAGGGCCCTTTTTAAATAAAGGCACTTGAAAAAAAAGTAACTCCCAAAAACGGTATATTTGGTCTGTGTGATTTTAAACTTTCTTCGAGGATCCAATTGCATTAGGTGATATGTCAGAAGTGCACAAACATGGCAACATTGTGAGTAGTTGTAATTGGTTCCACTGGCATAGCAGCAAAGTGTAACAATCCTGTCACAGTGTTTTCAACTGTTTGCTAATTAGGCTTTATGCACAGAGTTATATTTAGTTCGCTCTTCTTGTAACTATAGAAGTATCACACACATCCACACAGTCACAAGCACACATACTGTACAGTCTGCCCACCTTAAATCTCGCAGAGGTGAAGTCTCTGTTAATTGCTTTCCTTGCAGTTGATGGATGGATCACAGTGTCGGAGAGAAGAAGATGGGAGGTGTCAGGAAGAGAAAAAAAAACATGAATGCAAACATGATAGCAACACACATCCAAACCACAACACACACACAGTCTGGCATGCATGTCAGCCAGCAGAGACGGTTATCAGCTAATTAGCGCGAGTAGCTGCAGGGGCCCAACCTTATTGACACTGCAATGACAGTTTTCTGGTTTGAGTGGCACCCTCAGTACGTCCAGCCATATCATTCTGATTTAATTACAAACACACAGGGATAAAAACCTAACCCAAGGAGGAAAACGCTGAGCCGCCATATATGTGGAAACGGACCTTCCAAATGACTCGCTTGACTTGCTGCATGAATGGATATTCCACATCATAGCGTGAAAATATACAAAACAATGGCTGTGTTGGCGCTCAGTGGGAGGGGGGGATTACACAAGCTATTGTTTTGCCGCTCAAAATTGGTCCTCCTCCAGTGCTTCTGCTTTCAGGATCAAGCTCTCCTTTTTTCTCTTTTTTTTATATCACACCGAGAACAGAGCAGAAGAGGCTTTTAGAGAAATTGCAATCCGTATCAATTCTTTATGTTTCTAATATGATGAAATTTTGGGCTACATTTGTAATGCGGTTCAGGGGGCTGTTGAATATTCTTAAAAATTAGCCTGCAGGCTGGGCTACCCAAAGAGTTTTTTTGCCTGTTTCAATAACCAGGGGACTATGCTAATATGGGATGAGGTGCTGGATAATCCATGTAAAATCAACACTTTTTTAGGATTTCTAGAAGATGCATTCCCGGAAATCAATCTTTTTGATCCACTTTTACTGTATGGTGGCTGACAGGGTCAAACGCGTAACAACGGCCCAAAACACCGTGACAGTTGGCCCACTTTGAAAACCCTGATTGTCAACAAACTCATGTCCCAGCATTGTGTATCACTTTTGAATGTCCCTGTTTCCGTTGTGTTTTGAGCTTCTTGCAGTATTTTTGTATTTCAGCATTTCGTTTATGCAGCGCTTTTAGTAAACCCTGCACATGTTTCATCAAGTTGGTGAATATGTTTTTACATTTACATTGTTTTTCAAGGTGCAGTGCATTTCCCTTAATGTAAGTGTTTTCTGGTCGTTGTATCACGTTTGCACGGTTCGGCCACCGTACACTTTTGATATAACAGGGGCTACATTTGAACATTAAACACTCAAACATGACTTGATGATCACCTGCAGCCCACAGTGTGCCATTTGTTTTATCAGTGGAAACATCCTTTCATAGCAGCAGCACTATCTGTAGCTGGAGGAGATTATTTGGGGGAGTTGTGACGTAACCTGGAGCTAAGCAGAGATAATAAAAAAAACAGCCGATCTCTGTATGAGTAGCACACAGGGAAATGTAGGAAAGAGAAGTGTGCCGGCATTCCTGCAACTGTTTTGATCTTCAAAATCTGATGGAAAAAGGTTAGGGGGAAGATCATGCGCAGATCAGTTTGATTTAATTTGCCTTCAAAGAAAAGTCAGGGGGGGAATTGCCATCCACAGTGATTTGGAAGCAAAAAATGTTGAAGACGCACATGAAGAAGAGCAGGGATTATCCAGGGGACGCATGACACAGGCAGCTCTCGTGCGTAAAGAGCAAGGGGTTGCATTGGAGTTATTCAAGAGAGAAAGAGAGAGGAGGGGGGGGCGACACAGAGAGAGAGAGAGAGAGAGAGGGAAAGTGACGGAACAACGGAGCAATATAGTGGAGAACCGGGGGAGAGAGAGAGGGAGGGAAAACGAGAGAGAGAGGGAGAGAGAGGCTGCAAGGCGACTCGGTTGCCAGTGTTTGCCTCTGCCTCCCCAGCAGTGGGAGAGATGTGCGTAACATGCAGCGGAGAGCGGTGATTATCATCTGCGCGCCGCATCGCCGTGGACCGCCGTGCGCACTCGAAGACGGAGACGCACCGAGGGGCGCAGCCCGCTCTCCCCAACCTGCCGTTCGCTAAACGCCCGCAGAGAGCCGACGGGAGACTGCTACTACTTGAAGGAAAGAGAAGTGGTGTGAGGGAACATGTCAGCCCTTCAGACGCTGATTGGGGGTTAATCGCTCTCCTGTTTTGGAGCCACTCTGACGCACCGAGAGCGCGTATTTGTCTTTCTATACGGAATCTCACATCCAAACTGGACTATCAAGTGAGGATTTTGCATTAAGGGAAGGGATTTCTGAATTCCATGGCCAACAGAATATGAGTCAGCGCGTGTCTGTGAGCTGAGGTGGAGTGTGTCTCTTTCCGCTGCTCGGCTGTGTCGCTCCGCCACAAACCTTCCTACGCCAGGATGCAGCTGCTCCGAGTTGCGTGGGCACTGACCGGAGCAGCGATCTGCTGCTTTCTCCTTCTCCTTCTCCACTCCCGCCTGCTCAAAGAAGGTAATCACTCAAAACTCCGCAAAATCACATGTTACTTTTGCACTATTTGAATGCGCCATCGCCTTCCCTTGTAGTTCTTTTTAAGTTTCTCGCTACAATAATTCCAATGCGGAGTTTCCGTGGCTTCGGCTCAATCGTAGGAAAATGTCGACTTTTTTCTTGTATAATAAAAATCCAATCCAGACAACACTGAGGCACATATGCAATTGTGATTTCCCTTATCAACAAGTAATTTGTCACAAGCTGATCGATTGAGCAAAAATTGATGAATCGATCACCCTCAGCAAGACATAAATTCAAGCTGTGCAGAAAATAAAAATCAGTAGACATGCAGTTCAGTGTTTGTATAGAATACTGATGTGTTGTAAACGTTTTCAATAGATGGCACTAGAGTCTAGCTTTAGGGTAACATTGAGGTCAAGTGCTTCTAATGTTCAATTGATTGTGTTTTCTTGCACCATATATGCACATTTTAATCGCGATCATGCTTCATAAATTACAGTGATGTTCATGCTTCAGTACACTGTGTGTCGCAATCGAGGCTTTGCTGTATGGTTTGCGGACATGGCTGCGTTGTGGCAGGTGGTTCAGCTGTTATTTGGGAGGTTATTCACTGAGTTGCATGTGCTGACATTCTAGAAACCCAATCTGCTCTGTTGTTTCAGTGTGTTAAACATCACTAATTCCAGACGCAATTTAGCATAATCAATATACATCATATCTGTCCACTGGGAGATCTTCCCACAGAGATTGAGCACACTTATTCTCAAACTCCTTATGAAAGTCAAACGGTGTAACCCAGGGAATTTCTGTACTGTGTGAACCTGGCATAAAAAACAGCACTTAATATTCCCTTTGTACATGTATACCCCAGGGCGAGCAGAGTCTGCTTGGCACTTAGGAACTGTCATGGTTTCTCTTTGTGCCGGTTTGTCGAGAAGCGTGGCTTGGAATGGCCTGCCATCCCCTCTCCCTGCCTCCGGCTCTGGGCAAATATTCAGGTCAAGCAGTGGCAAACACTTTCTCCTCACCGGGGTGAGTCCATGACTACTGCAGGGTAGGAGAATGTCCAGCAATACTGAAGAGGGGAGAAGAAAAAAAACTTGTCCGTCAGCCAGAATGAGAGACAAAGGGGAGTTCAGGATTTTGTACTGGCACATGTCCCAAAGCCTTCCTTTGGAGTTTTAATTTACTGTGGCATGCTAGCCTCTTCCACAGAGGTCAAAGAGAGGATTGTGCGGCCACCTCACAATACGAAAATAAGTGCTGCTCATGGCTGTGTTAATGCGAGGGACTCATTTGATTCAGGCCATCAGCATTGTCAACTGGCAAGGCAATATTTTTGACCTTCACTCGCCGCGTTGTTTGCCTGTATCATGTTGTGCTTTTACACCAAAGTGTTTTTTTCCCCCTAAGCCTGCATTTTCTTTGGTTTCAAACTGGAAACCGAATAGCTGTTACCTTTTGTGGGGGGTGGGGCTGCGATTAAAGTTCATTATGGTTCAAATTGAGATGGAGTCAAAGAGAGAGAGAAAGCCCACAAAGCAGGGTTGAAGAATAAGCTCACTTTAGGCTACAAGAGCGACCAAGGTCAAAGCCAGCTGTGAGTGCTAATAACACAAACTGATAAAATGAATTCAAAGGACCGCATTAGTGACAATCTTTTGGGGGATGAGAATAATGAAAGGCATGCACGAGGGGCCTTAAAAAAGAACAGAAACCCTTTGAATCTTCGCTCACATATGCCTTCATTAAAACATCAGGGTTGTGCTACACAAGCCTCTCCAATGGGAGTCACATACAGAACAAAAGGCAAATAAATCATATTGTATTTTTAGATTATCCTCTCATCTGCATGTGTGTTTACATGCATGTGTTATTCCTGGTGGTGTTATCTGAAAGTAGCTTGATATCCTTTTATCATTATATCATTATCATGCTAGCTAGTAGCACTTCCAGGATGGTGATTTTGGCTCCCAAAGAAGCAAACTGTCACCCCTATGCCACTAGCCCAACACAGCGGCGAGTGTATTTTTGGGAGTCGTGCACCTCATTGTGTCAGCCATCCTTGCATAATGTGACTTGTGCAATGAGAAATGAGGATGCCGAGAGGGCGGATTGGGATTGGAAACGTATTAAAACATTATGCATAGGGAATGTGGATGAATTTTGCGCCATCAATTTCTCATACTGTCCACTTCAATAATTCAGGCAATGGAGCAAATCCCATTTTGCTCTTCATTGGCCGAGATATTTGTCACATGGCAATAAAGAGTCTTGACAGGTTCATGGAATAGTTTTCTGGTTTCTGGTGGATCCAGATGGCACAGGATGATGTGAAATATTGAGTGTTGTTTGGCGAAATGAGGTAAGGTTGTCACACTGTTATTGTAACATATTTTCTAGCATTATCTTGAGGCACCCTGTAGGTAACAATTAAAGTTATGAAGAGCAGCTTTAAAAAAAACAACCTACAGAACATACAGCTAAGAGAAAATCAGTATCAGTTAGTTTAAATTGTCCAAATATGAATTCCTTTCAATGAATGTCATGATTTGTTTATACCTGCCTCTGTATGTTGGTCATACAATAGAATGATCTTGGCTTTGACCATTGAACATATGGTGTACCAGGTTCTGAAAAAAACATACTTTAAAAGACAGAAGATACAATTGAATTCAAAGTACATTACGAGTAAGTCACGTTTTAGACTGTAATGAAGATGCTCACTGATAAATCTCTCTGCTAAACTACCTTTTAACTGTGCCCATTTAGCTTGTAGACACCATCGCTGTTTCATACTTCAAAGAGAAACATATTGCCTAACACGTCTCTGTGGCAATGACAAGTTGAATTGCAGTGCCGTCGCATCATGTTTCTTCTTTATTCATTCATAAAGCCTTGTGTCTGCACACCCCAATGGCCTCTTAATGTCTTCTACCTCCCCACCGCCAGTCTGCCTGACAACTGCCGTTATTGATCCTCAGGTAAAACCGCAGGGTGGGCCGAAGTGACAGAGATATGTGTATTCATACACTGCGCTTGACATCAAGCGACCCAAAATCAGTTTTTCACCACAGAGAGAAGGGCTAGCCAGGGGATCCTCTTTTTATTCATATTTATTTTTTTAAGAATATGGATTAGAATGGCATTCTGTGGCGTGACAGCTCTGCTCATGGCAGCCTCGGGCAGATTTGGGTCAAGAAGTGGCAATCATAGGTGTCGAAAGGGAAGCTCTTAAGAGTTTAGGAAGCAATGCACTACCGAGGAGCTTCTGTCTGTCAATATTGCTTGGGTAGCCTTAACTGCTTTCCTTAAAGATGGCCTATTAACATTTCTGGGGTCTTCCCTTTCTTGTAGTGTATTATATAGGTTTTTGTTCATGTCAATTGTTTGTAAAGGCTAAAATCCCAAAGTTCCCTGCCTGAAACGCCTCCATTGGACTTCTTGTTAACTTCCATCACAATGAAACACTGGCGCTTCTATTGGCCGGGACATCTCTAAGCGGTTGACCAAGCACAACAGAGCCAGCCATCTAACCAAGCAGAGCAGACTGGGCTCTGGTTTCAGACAGAGGGCGAAAAGAGGTGATGCAGCACAGGCAGTATGAGAACAATAAAGACCATTTTGAACATTACAGCTGGTAAACATGTCACAGTAGAGACACAACATATACATTTGAACCTGAAATGAGCATCATAGGGCCCCTTAAGAAAAACGGTTGGACAAAATAAAAAAAGGAACTTCTATAGTCAATAGCATGTTGTCAGGTGGCTTCTCCCTCACATGTAGACGTATCAAGCCTTTCTACAGGAATGGAAAGAGTTCCACAACATATACTGTTTGCTTTCTCTGAATTGCCAAGCTGTGAATGGTTATGCAACAGACGCAAGCACTGCGACACAACTGTTGTTTACCCTGACAGTTTTTTAATATATTTCTCTTTATGCTACACTATTTTTTTTCAGTGTTTCTTTTCTTATTGCACAGATTTCAGCCTTTACTATCCAATTTCCTTGTGCCATCTGTGAGTGTTTCAATTTTCCTTCTCGTCGGAATATAATATTGTGTTTGTTCTAAAGGAGCAGAGTGCTGAGTACACTTCAGGCACAGCCGTTAAAAGGCGTAGTAGCATCACCTGCATCTTAACGATGTCGATCAGTTTAATTACAGTCAAGGCCAGAGTGAGCTGCAGTATAGGCTCAGTCTTAAATATGACTCAGAGAGGCATAGTCTTCAAGTATTCCTTCCTTTTTCATGCATATTAATGTAGAGAAAGTAGGTGTTTTAGGGAATTTAGCCCCAAAGATTGTGAGCATGTTTTTAATGCTGCAGTAATACTCTTTTGGCATACTGAAGTGTCACGATCACCTTGCTTTACTTTACAAATCCTCAGCGAAGTGAAATCCCTCATAGCACCAGGTACAGTAAGCGTTCATCCACGTGTAATCTGCTGTAAACTGATTTAAATTGCGCACAATTTATCCTTAATGGTCAGTATCAACCGTAATCCATGAGGGCAATGCTCATTAATCAATTGTGTAATTGATTCATTACTTAAAGGGTTTGTTAATTAATTCACTTCGATGAATCAATCACAGTTGCAGCAGAAACCTGTGGTGGTTTTACAAGGTAATCCAACTCCAAACGACCCCCTCGAGTCCTGCGTCTAGGGGCACTTTTCATCTGTGTGTGTGTGTGTGTTATTCCCAATACTCACTCATTGCACTGTTTTCACAGTTCCTATTGATTATGGGACAGTAAAAAAGTGTGCACTCTTGCACCCAGTTTTCCTAAAGTCCTATTGATTGCTTTTTGGCAGTGCTGTGGGACAATAAAAAAAGGCAGTGCTTGGATTTAGACCCTAATGAAAAGCTGGCTGTGAGGACCCTCTCTAGGTTCTAGCTTTTTACTGGAGAGACCGTTGGAAATAGTGATGTCAGAAAGACATCGACCTAACACACTTCATTCCTGCCCTTTCACCCGTGAAGTGCCGCCTA